AAGGTGTGCTTCTCATGTGTCAACGAGCGTGCAGCTCTGGCGTGATGTGCGTGACAAGGTGTGCTTCTCATGTGTCAACGAGCGTGCAGCTCTGGCGTGATGTGCGTGACAAGGTGTGCTTCTCATGTGTCAACGAGCGTGTAGCTTTGACGTGATGTGCGTGACAAGGTGTGCTTCTCATGTGTCAACGAGCGTGCAGCTCTGACGTGATGTGCGTGACAAGGTGTGCTTCTCATGTGTCAACGAGCGTGCAGCTCTGGCGTGATGTGCGTGACAAGGTGTGCTTCTCATGTGTCAACAAGCGTGAAGCTTTGACGTGTTGTGCGTGACAAGGTGTGCTTCTCATGTGTCAACGAGCGTGTAGCGTTGACGTGATGTGCGTGACAAGGTGTGCTTATCATGTGTCAACGAGCGTGCAGCTCTGATGCGATGCACGCGAGCGTGAGCGGGCGTGCAGGAGTGGAAGCCACTCGGACATGCAGGTGGGTAAATACCCGGTACCTTTTAGTCGGGGCGAGGTGAAACCCCATCACAAAGAAAGGGCGGGGATTAATACACTTATTCTAACAATAGGGGGGTTGTCTCCCACATTCTTACTCTGAAGGGGGACCCCGCCATTTGTCAACCAGGGGTGTATGATTCAAACATTCGCGTCCAAAAACCACCTCAGCATTTGCCTCCACCAAACATTGTCTTTTGCTCTGGTCCAATCTTGATGAGTAGTAAGTTGAAGCATTTCAAAAAAGACCCCAGATACAAGCCTGCTGCCTTTTAGGGCCAAGTATGGCCGCTTTCGCATAATTGGTCTATGGCGGAAATGGCACGATCCAGCTGAAACCGGGTGGTCCCTTTGCCGACTTGACAAGTGTTGCAGGCCTCGGTGGCTTTCTGCGAAGCCCTGCTAAAAGTTTAACTTTTAGTGCCCCGCATGTCGATGGGTCGTATCGTGGCCGGTGGTTACACCACGAACCACGAACGAGTGTGCAAGCAAATTAGACATGAAATGCCCCAAGTGCGCTTGGGCTTAATTCGGAAAATCCATTAGTAACGGCAAAAAGTTGTTCTGTCCTAACATCCGTTGGCAAAACGCGCCAAAGATGCCTCGAGGAAACGAGTAAACGAGACTTTCCACGGAGCCCTGTGCTTCCCTTCTAAAACATTTTCGGCACATGATTCCCTCAACCGAAACCAACCAACTGCCTCCAACAATGCCCGAGAAATTCCAGGGTTTACCTTCTGCCACAACTTGCTTGATATTCAGTTGGCATTACTCCGTGCCACTACTTCGCTACTTGAAAGGAGATTCCTTTGGTGTCACCAAAGAAACGTGTCCGACCACCATGCTCCTGGTTGTCCTCATACTCGATGTTATACAGGGCGCTTGCATAGCCAATGCCTGGCCATGCCACAAAGCGAGCTCAGATTGAACCCTCCATGGGCGACGCTGTTCAGCATTCCCAATGTGGGACCCAAAACCTCCGCTCCCCTGCAAGGCCATAGGCCTTTGGGGGAAACAGGGGGAAAAGGCTCGCTATCCTGTGACAAGGGGGAGGTTCCCTGGCACCTGACTGGCAGAGTACAAAATTGAAGCCAAGGGAAACCCTTCACAAATTGCCCGCCCTCCGGATGTTCATCTTTCAAACTCGGAGCAACGCTCTCGATCTGAAACCAACCTGCGGGCGCCCCATTTTGTCACCAACAGAAGCACTTTTTTTGGGCCATGCTCACATTTTCTCACTAAGGATCCCCATCATCTGACTTCCCTCTCAAGAGCTCCTTCTGATTGTCACCGGGGCTTTGGTTTTCCTTACTCCTGTGGCTGAAGATCCTCGGTTTGGCCGCTCTGAGGCCAGGCTCTGGTTGCTTCAATATCTCAATTGGCTGTGGGGACGTCAGAAATCGGCACCGATGTCTGGTAGCTTGCAGTCAACTGGCCGTGGGTCAAAGTCCAAATCGTACCCCGAGCGAACATCCTAATCCCCACTAAAATAGACCAAACATGGGTGGTGCACCCACCCCAAAATGCTACCATCGGTTTTGACCCACAGCCAACTGACTCCTGGTGCCCCTCCAACCTGTTTTCACATGTCTGGAACCTCAACTTTGCGCCTTTTGGCCAAGGCCCCTTTGATCGAACCTCTATACCCTCCAACAAGGAACCCACTTGAAGGAAAATGGGATTCCAGGACACCTAACCAACCACTTTGACATTTTTCTTCCCGAAGCCTGATGTCCACCAAAGAGTCCACTCTGCAGAATTCACACCGGAAGGGTCAGTTTGTTTTTGTTCGACTCGGTAACCTTTTTAGGGTTGGTTTAGCGGGAAGCCTAAAGAAACCCCAACCAAACTTTACACCAACAGCCAGAAAAGAACCGCCAACCAACGTTTGCAACCAACCCTGCGCCTGACTGGAAGTTGCCCATCAGAAGCATCGCCTTCGTCAGATCGGAGGCGTCTCCGCAGAACTCCTGCTTGCAGGCAAGTGCAAACGGAATCGGAAGCATATCATTCCAAAGGGAAGAGATGTATATGTACCCAAAATGGAACCCTGGTAAATGGAAACTTGGACTACAACCTGCGGCTTTCCTGGTGGTTTCATTTTGACCCACACCCATACATCGTCCGCAGAAAAGATCCCCACAACGCCAAGTCCTCAACCGTAACCCAAGCGAACTGGATACACACTAAGGACCCCAAGACAGAAACCCTACAGGGTAAAAACGCTTGCACACAACAAAATCCTTTGCCCTGGCTCGGGATTTGGCTTGTCCTCAAATTTTGCTGTCGTGACCATAGGAAGGAAAGGACACCTCTGTGGGAGACAACCAAACACAGTGCAAAAGGGTGCCAGTGAACGGACTCCCGGATCCATTCTGAAGGGTATTATGTTGACATGAATTTCCTCTGGGCACTTGTTGGAATCATGTCTCTCGCAGCCATTTGTGAGATTGTTCCAACCACTAGCATCTTGATGCAGAACCATTTGCAAGGGCATGTGTTGGGTTTGTCTCAAAGTGGCGAACCCCCCCCCCAACAAAAAGAGAAAAGGGATCCTGTTCTCCTTCGGGCTTTCTTTTCCCCCACTTCGAGAAGGCTCTTGAGTCTGCAACTTCTTTCCCCCCGCTTCGATCCATCCTCTGGCTGAAACTCCGCACCAACTCCCATGGGCGCGGTCTCCACGTTGGGCCTATAACAAATACCCGGTCGAGTTAGGCCCCCCACAAAAGGCCCAAGGACTCAGAAAGTTGTCTCAAGCTGAAGTTGGCTTCCAATGCGGGACCCTGGGCTTTTGTTTGTCCTTGTAGGGGTAAGTGGATGTCTGATCAAATCGATTTGAAGGAACGAAAAGAGTCCCACCGAAATGGAAAAGATGCCAGTGGCTGTCCCAAGATTGCATGAGCGAAAAGCGATTCGCTTGCGCAGGTGTCCCTTTTGGTCAGCTTGGTTAACACCAGATGCCACAGGTGTCAGTTTGTTTGGAAATCATGTCCCAGATCTATGTCCAAAAAGATGCCTAAAGCCACTTGTACTTCATATTTGGTCCCTGAGGGACCCAATGGCCACTGAAACTCAATTTCTGAGTGGCCGCTTCGTCCCAAAGTCTGGAATTCGGTGCTCCAAACCGATCCATGTTCCGCAAAGGTAGCGAGTTCAGAAACGCGGGAACTGAGGTGAGCCTTCATTGTGCTTTGTAAAGGGATGCGGTTTCCACTTTCTCCTGAAGTTCTTGCTAAGCCTGCTTGTAAAGTACTCTTTTATCTCCATTTGGGGTGGATCCACAGATTCGCATCGCTTCCCGTCGACTCCCCACATGACGAGCTCTCATTTTAGGTGACCCGAAACCCATCTAACACCGGAGTTACGATACAGGTTTACGCGTCTAATTCCTGCGATGAGCCTTACCCCCAAAGTGGCTGGATTGTAAACCTGACCATGTAAGTGGTCAAAGGGTCCAACCAATTAAACAGCTTACTATGCTCATATAGTCCTTACTATACTGCGGGCTGAGGGCTCAGAATGTGGCGTGCGCTGATTGAACCTCCCGTTCAAAAACATTCGGCTAGTGACAAGGGTGTGCCCTTTGTCACAAGAATGCCCTTCACCGCATCATTATTGGACCATCTGGAGTTTTGTACTCTGATTCCAACACCTGAAACAAGGATTGGATCAAGGAAACAACCTTCACGGCGTTCGCTTGTTTAACACGGCAAAGATGATTGAAAACCCTTTGGGAAAGGTCTAGGGGTAGCTTCCCCATTCTTGCCAGGGATCCTATTTCCAGAAAACCACCAAACATGATGGGGAGACAGCTGCTTATTGAAAAGAACGATGGTTGAAAAGAATGGGGAATCAACCCCTAGAAAAGGCCAGTCATCGAGATGACTGGCCCCCCAATAAGGGCGGCTACACAAATGGCTTCTATGCCGCACATAGCATCGAGAGCGTGAATCCACTCTTAGGGCTTCATCCTTCTCCGTCCCTATCACAGCCTCATGAATGGCTATTGGACGAAGACAGACCCCGGATCGCCTTCCTTCATCTTTTTTCTAGCTGCCGGGTGATCCGGTATCAGCGTGATGCAACCTGGAACCCATGTGCGTGGAAATGGGGTGTGAATTTGAATAGAGCCAAACAATACAGGACACTCTCGAAAAATGCTTATAAGTTTATATTGATAAATGAGTTATGTTTAAGATGATGGGACGAAGTATCCGATTGCTTCGAAGCAGATGGTCTCATCAGTTGTGGTGAAAGACGTCACTTTGATGAAGTATGCAAGAATCTGTCCAGAGCAGCATAGACTGAATTGGCCGAGGTTTGTTCTGTTGACGCTTCTTCAAAGCCACTCTTCTGGGTGTTAGATGGGGGTTTGCACGAAAAAGCCCACCCCCTGTTGGTGTCCTTTTGAAACCATCGAAAAACTTTGGGCTATTCAACACCCAGACTTAAAGTCTTAAGCCATTCCCGCGCGAGATTCAAAGAAATCGTGGCACCAAACAACAAACAGCACGACCAGCACCTGCAGCACCTCCAGGCCCCTCGGAAGTAAGAAGCCCTCAAAAGGCTTTCAGCTATGGGTCAAAATTAGTCACCACCGGGTTCCGCAGGTGTTCGTCCATGTTTCCATCTAGGGCAACCTATTTTGGGGCCCTATGTTTGACCCACACCCATCTGGGGAAGAAAAAAACATCGGGTTCTGCCAAGGCACGGGATGTCGCAAATGAGGTCGATGGACTCATAGGCTACCTGAATTGGTTAGATGCCTGCTGGCAACCCAAATGTTTCAGTCTTTCTTTGGTTTGATGGTGCCGTTTTTCTCCTTGTTTTGCGAGGGGTCGGGGGGTTGGCTAAAAGGAGAATTCAAGGGAAACCGCGAATTTGATGGGAGTTGCGCTGGTGTCCTATTTTGAGACAAACCCCGGAAAACAACGACTTGTTTTTTGCAGACCCGGGCAGCGGCGCCTTGGGAAAAACAAGACGACACAGATCGTTGGGAAGTCGAAAGGCCAAAAGGTTTCCCTACCATGTTCTTACAGAACTCCTGGTACCCTCTTGAAATGCGTGGTCTAGCCTCAAAATACCCTCAACATGGTTCCTGTCCAGTCATGTCCAGTCTGTCCCGATGGCTTCCCTTCAAAATACAATCAAACCAAGTTTGTGTGGGGAATTTGGGTGGCCCCCACAGGGTCATGGCTCTTGTCCAGTTGGTTCTCCCTTGAAACAACAAAAGGGCAATCTATACATGGAGCCTCTGTGACCCTTTGCAAAGAAAAGGCGGGCGCAATGCACCCAGTCATGGAGGGTCTAGCATAGGAACATTTTGCCCCTATCACGAGGCTTGATTTCGAGTTCCCACACAAACCTATATTTTCAAAAACTCACCACCATGGTTTCAGGTTACTTGTGGCTCCAAGCCCCCCCCCCCCCGCCGGGCCGTCGACCCCCCCCCCTAAAATTGCACAGACTGCGTGTAGTCACCATCTACAGCTACATAGCCCCTTATTTTGGTGCCCTGCTTCCCCAAAAAAGAAGAAAGTTATCCCGGCCCAAAAACAAAATGTTCCCGTGGGCGCGATTGATACATCCACATTTCCCGCCGAGCCTTGTTTTCTTGGGGAAAAAAAGAAAACTAAAAAAAAACTGTAGGTGAAACTGCCCGTTTGCCCACCGTGTCAAAAACGAAAATACCAAAACGACTCCGCCACAGCCACATCTGTGACAGTGGAGAAGATGGCGCTGTCCCGCTCCAGCCTCGCTTCCTCGACTCCAGGGATGTGGGGTTCAAGGACGTGGAGAACAAAAGGAGCCAACCCGGTTCTGAGACGGTCTTTCCAAAACCTGGTGGTGCAGAGGAACACCTACCGCCAAATAGGAGGGCTGGGCAAGGTGGAGCAAACTTCCCACAGCAGCGCTTATCTGGGTACAGGAAAAACACCTACCGCCAAAATAGGGGGTTTGGCAAGTTAAACAAGGATCCATCCCCGTTCCGTTGGGGGAAAGTGCCGTAGGAGTGCCATTGTCGCTTCTTTTCCTTCATGTGTAGGGGAGTGAAGGTCCAGCCAAAGAGCAATCACGGGGTTCCAAACATGTCCTGGTTTGAACACCATCCCAAAAGGAAGCCCAATTCAAAGCGGCCTTCCCCAGACTACAGGCCTCGCCCCCCAGAGAGATTCTGAAGGAACCCTTTTGATCAAAGGGGCTTCGAACTTTGGTCGCAAGGTTCTGAGAACCATTCTGGGTGCGGCAGGGGAGACCCCAATCTCTCTAAGTGATCCCCCCTTGCAATTCAGGGAAAAATCACGAAAATAAGTCCTTCCCAAAAAGGAAACTCCTCTGAAAGCCATGGTCATGTGCGATGTCAAGCAAACAAGCCACACCTTGATTGTGGAAAATAAACCCTTCTGTGACCTCGTGGGTTCCCATCGTCACGACTACTTCGTCGCCTGGGGATTCTGCAACTCAGAGGGAAAGCTCGCACAACGACTCAAGGCCTGGGACCCAAGCCGAGACCCGACATGGCCGAATGCACATGCGGCGCTTCGAAAACCCACGGGATGTCGAGCTATCCGAACGAAGCGTCGGATGGCCGGCGCCCGAAAGTTGACCTTGGAATCGATGGGGAACCTCTGACTGTGGCCCCTCGAATGAGGGTGTTTGTTGGTCTTCGGCTTCCCTCCAATTGGTTTGGATTGGAGGCTTGGAGCGTGATTGCCCATCCCTCTACGCGAACCAAAAGTTCAATCCCCCAACCAATCCAAACCACCTAACATTTGCCCTCCTGTCCACTGCATGGAACCCACCAGAGAAATGGTCCCCTTCAAGGGAAAAGACAAGTGCCATGGCAACGTGAACCCCTAACTTTTGTACATGGGAACCTACCCCTAACCAAAAAACCATCCACGAACCTCTGGCTTTGTATGGCAGTGGCTCAAAATTAAAGAGCTAGGCTACGCAGGTTCTGGTCCATGTTTCCACTTACCAGTTTGGTACCGGTTTTTTGAGCCATACCCATACCAAGCCAATCCACACCTCTCCCCTAACATCACCTGACATTTCCCCCAGGCCCCTCAGCTGTCCTCCAGCTCCCGGGTGATGACCCGCGCCGCGCACCCATCCAGCTCTGTGTAGTCCATCCTTGGATTTCCCGGATGTTTGGACGTCAAGTTTGAGCACGCCTTTGTTTTTTTCCCCATCTCAGCCCATATAAGCTCCTTGGTTTTCCGGGGCTCGAGGTAAGGTTCCACGAGGCCTTCTGCACTAAATTGAGCACCGCATGCTGCTGGGGATATCACCTGAGCTTATTGTTGCCGGGGAAAATCCACAACTTTGGAGAAGCTTGGCGGATGGTAGTGGGGAACTTCGGAGAGCGCCATCGCGGAATTTGCAGGGAAACCTACCCAACAAGGATTCGGAGAAAAAGGCGCTGGAGCGCCGGGCCACCCAGCGAGGGTGGTGTGGAGGAACGCAGAAGGTCTTTTTCAACCGCCCCGACACCTCCAGCTCCGTTAAAAGAAAAGTCAGGCAATACCCCCAACAGCACCACACCCTCCCAGAATCCTCGCGGAACCCCACCTCACCGCCGGTTTTGCTGAGGATCCCGCCTTGTAACTTTTTAAGCAAAGCTAAGAGTGACAGCGCAATCCCGGGGCCCGGGTCCGACCGGGGCCCGACGGTGCAATCGGGGCCCCAGCGGGGCCCGACGGTGGAGGGCCCGATGGTCCCGTGGTGCAAGCAGGCTCCCACCAACCCCAGCCACCCATATTATAGCTCAACGCCGGTTTTCCTTAGGAACCTCGCAAACCGTCCTCGTGGAACCCCATAGTTTTTGCAGGACCTGGTGGAAACCTCGTGGAGCGTTCTCACCCCATAGCCGAGCCTCGTGGAACTTTTGGAACCCAAAGCCCACCAAGTAATACTCAGGAATGCCAAGCATTTACTTTGCTGCACAGTGAGTCCCGCAGCAACGTGATCTGATTTCCCACAAAGCCAACATTTTGTCTGAGCTAGTGAGCAAGTCAAAACAGCGAAAGTGTGCTGAAAACTGAAAACCTTTGATTTCGGTTTTGCTTAGTGTTCCGCCAATGAGCAAAGCGATCTTCTGAGCTCTCAATTTACTGCTCCGATGGCTTTTCAAAAGGCGGGCGCTTCCCTCCAGGGCAAACCATGAAACCTTGCAGAACATTTGCGGACCTTGGAACCTTGTGGAGCCGTGTGGAACTGTTGTGGAATCCTTGTGGAACTCTGTGGAACCTTACCTCAGGGCCGCCCCGGACCATCCCGCAGCCCTCGCAGAGCCTCGTGGAACCCTGGTGGAACCTTGGTGGAACCCTGGTACAACCCTCATGGCCTTACCTCGCAAAACCTGGTGGAACCCTGGTGCAACCCTGGTGAAACCCTCATGGAACCTTACCTCAAACCGCCCCGGACAACCCCGCAGCCCTTGCAGAAATTGGTGGAACCCTGGTGGAACCCTGGTGGAACCCTGGTGGAACCCTGGTGGAACCCTGGTGGAACCCTGGTGGAACCCTGGTGGAACCCTGGTGGAACCCTGGTGGAACCCTGGTGGAACCCTGGTGGAACCCTGGTGGAACCCTGGTGGAACCCTGGTGGAACCCTGGTGGAACCCTGGTGGAACCCTGGTGGAACCCTGGTGGAACCCTGGTGGAACCCTGGTGGAACCCTTGTGGAACCTACCTCAGGGCCGCCCTGGACCACCCCGGAGCCTATCTGGGCTAAGACCCCAAAGCTTTCAGCTGTTGGGGCAAAAAAAAGTCTTAGCGGCATGTGAGGCGGCACTTGGAGGGCCATATTGGGTGATTCGGGACTGGTGCTCGGTGTACTGTTGGCTTCCCAAAACACCGCAGAAAGGGGCCCCGCGGGGTGAGAAACACCCATGTTGAGATCCACAAAGTACTGTAGAGAAACACAAAAGTCAGTAATTGGAGTGCCCTATTTCGTGTTTTTAAAAGGCCGCGTGTGCAGGATCCAAAAAATGGCCACCCCATATGAGGGGTACGGCTACATCCTATCCTGTGTTTTTCCCTTTTTGGCGGTGGGTCCTTCTCACGAAGCCAAGAAAACCACCCTTCAGTTCCCAAAAAATCCTGAACCCGTTCTTGTCGGGCAAAGGAACACGACACCCAGTCCCCATCCCCTCTTCGTTTTCGACCCCAGGCCCGAAACCCGAAACGCCGCGCCGAGCCGCTTCTCCGGGGTGGCGCGCCCGTCCCCGCCCCCGATCTTCCCCCGCTTCCCCGAGACCGCGCCCGCCACCGCGCAGGGGTTGGTCTCCGGCAGGTCCTAGAGGCCCGAGAAGCGGACACCCGGTGCCTTTAAAGCGAAGGGTGTGTATTTTTTGACAGGGGCTGAGTAGGGGACCATTTTGAAGAAAGGCACATTTGAAGGTAAGCCATTTTTGGAGTTGGTACCATGTTGGAGGTTACGGAAACCAATGGAAAAGAGCCACACCCAAAACCCAGGTGTGAAACCAACAAAAAAGGTTTCTTGGCAGAAGCGTACGCGCAAAATCAGATAGTAACATCCTGGTTCATATGTCAAGCTTGAAATGTTGCGTAGGTTGAGTAGGGTGAAACGGAAACCCCATAAAAAAAAAAAAAACCAGTCCCCTGAGTGCTCCCGTGCCTTAGCTTGTTTGTGTGGTGCGGGTACCCAATTTCATCTTCACCTAAGAACATAACGGTGAAAATTGACGCTGCTCCTGTGGGTGTGCCTTCAACTAGAACTGTTGGCTACCACCATGGTGGCTTTCAATTTGGTTAGCCCTTGAGCACACCACAATACGAGCACCATGAAACTTCCCCATGGCTCATACAAGATTGTCCCAAAAAGTGTTGTCTAAATCTACCAAACAGGAAATATTGGAAAACTTGGTCGGCCCAAGGACACAAGGGGAAAGATGCGTGCATGTGTGAGCGTACGAGTTGTGGAAGCATTGCTCCGAGAGCGACCAGCATGGTCAAACATCATTTGAGCAGCGCTGAAAACCTATTGACTTTTGGTCCTACTGTGATGATTATAAAGATGTAGATAAGCCTTGCTGTAACCCTCATGAACCAGGTAGAACCACCTTTTAAAATGACCAATGGTGAATCCGGGCGCTGCTCATTTGTCAAGCCATGTAGGAAAAAGTCTGGACAGAAACCGCTTTCTTTGTTGGACGGAGGAATTGTTGGAAGGAAACAAACCACCCCTTTCACAGTTCTTGGATAGCGCCTGCAAAACAAATGAAGAAGAGGCAAAATTGCGCGGACATTTGGGCGCATTGGGCGCGCTTTCCACTGTTCGGCCAGGGGGCATACACCGGCTCAGCATTCAGCTGGTTCATATGCGCCTGGACTACGCCGGAAGCGTCTTTGTAGCTCTCCTGGATGGAGTTCCACAGCTGGCCTCAAGCGATGCTGTTCTTTTCAACGTGCAGCCGGCCGGCGCAAACGCCCCGGTTTCTGGGGCCCAAGAAAACTCATAGGCGAAAATAGAGGTCAACACAACAAGTAGGTTCGAAAAAGCCCCCCCCCCCCCGGTCTTGGTGCTTCGGCAAGCATGGTTGGCCCGTTTCAACAGAAACCAAGACAGAAGCCGGCATTGTCTGGGGTTTCCCCCCCAGGAAAAGCGATTCATGGGGGGCAAGTGTCCCCCCTTCCTTCACCCTTGTCCCCCGTCCACAAGCAATAAACATGAAAAACGACCCACCGCTGGTCCAAACGCCCTTTTTGCCCGGGCCGCTGTAGTCCATGCACTCCGCCGCATAGGTGGGCTCCTCTACTGTGAAGCCCTCCAGCGTTGGCACCCTCGGTGCCTAAGTTGCGCTGGATCCGTGGAGCAAATTGTTTGGGCGGTGCTCCTAAAGATGTGGCTGTGGCTCAAAAAACCGGAATTCCAAAATGGGTGGCCCTGGCAAGTGGAAACATGGACCAAAACCTGCTGTCTGCCCCTATTTAATTTTGAGCCACACCCATGTTTCTCTTCAGAAAATGGGAAAAGCAATGGTAAAATGTGCGGTTCCGGAGAACCAAAGAGGGATGAAGGCGCAGGACCATGATCCACAAAACTGGAAAGCTTGAATCCCCGGAACCCCAAAGGTAAGAAGCCTTCACCTTGGGTGAGCTCGCTTTACCGGGCGAGCTATCACTTCGCCGGAAGCCACGCCAACAAAAATCGCACCGGTTCCTTCAGATCCTTGATTCGAATTCCCGCCGTTTCAGCTCCATCTAAAAGAAATTCGAAGACTGTCGGACTTGACGTCCAACAGACATATGTGGTGCCCCTCCGTGCGTTGCAGCCCTTCGGCCCATCCCTGAAGCCCGGCCTTGGGCCGCTTCGGCGTCTTGATGGCCCGCAGCCGACTCTTGAGCGCGCCCGCCTGGCTGCCGCCCATCTTGGGGATGCCTCGTCGCGAAGTGCAGAAATGCCCCAGACCAGATGCGATATGGTTTCCTACACGATCCTTTGGCGCAAGCATCGGAACCCGCGTGTTTTCCGTCTTTTTGTCGGGTCTTAACGGGCACAAAAAAGGAAAAAGACACCTTTTGTCCCCAGTTTCCAAGTGTTCTGAAGCCAAGGGTTTGAGCCTTGAGGCTTATAACCATTCTTTTGCCGAGCCGGGGAGTTCTTGGTAAACGAATTCTTTGGCGCTGTAGGTCCCCCAGCAAAAAGCTTAACGTTTTGCTGGTCAAAAGGAAATATGTGCAGGTTCCAAAAAGTTAAAGTCTAAAGATCCAACCCAATAGCAGTAGAGAATTATATTCAGGTGTTCACGTTTTGCGCCAACCTGCAAACACTGTAATACTGTCTGAGACCCCAGAGTTCTTTCTGACTCTGGGGTGCTGCCTTTTCGGCCCCGACATCTGGAACCTCAAGCCAGTCTTCGGCTCGGCCCTTTGGTCTTGACGGTTTTTGGGTCGCAGCGAGTGCGACGAGACGGGAAGAAAAATGACGCCGTGAGGTCAGGGGTCAGCTAAGTGGCAACTGGCAACCCCCTGTTGAAACCCTAAACCACCTCACTAGGCAACATTTAGGTGGTTTCCAGGCTATCCAAGGATTCCACAGCTTCAGGATAATACAGGAAGTTGAGATGAGGCTCGACACATGAAGCAAGGGAGGGTGATTCGCTTCAGAGGTGGATGGTGGCATATTGGGCAGAAACCTTCAACTCCGAAATCTCCCACAAATTATAAGACAAACACCTCCATTTGTTGCATAAAGACTTGAACAGATACCTCTGCCCTTTGCCAAGGTTGTTAATGGCATCATGCCTTACTTCAACGCTTGGGTGTGAGACGACCAAACTTCCACGAATGGGTAAAACACCAGATATCCCAAGCAAATCTGACCCTGAAAGCACAAATGGATCCCCAAGAGGTGTAGTTGAACCCTCGTCCAAGTCCTGAGTTCGGAAGCCAGGAGTCGTGTAGAACCCTGAAGGTCCTTTTCCCTCTCCGAGGTTCGAAAGGTGCCTCCGTGAACATCACACCCCGGATTGAAAGGAACCCATTTTGAGGCCAAAGCGGCGCTCCAGTGCAAGACCCCAAAGACGGAGTCCCCCAGTCCCCCATCGCTTTAAGCGCTTTTTTCTGAGTCGTTCCCCCAAGTTGGCCGGCAAACCGAAGTTGGGGCCTCCGACTCCCGCGCTGTCGAATCCCCGTGGGCCTTTCCCCTCGAACTGGCCGTCGAAGTCCGACATCGCCACCACGTCGAAGCCCTGCGCTTCGAGCCGGAGCTTCCAGCGGGCGCCATGGGCCGTGCTATTTGTTTAATTAGTTGTTTGTTATTACTATTATTATTACTATTATTACTATTATTATTCTTTTATCAATATTAATATCAGTGTTATGATTTTTATTATTACTATTTGTATTCTTATTATTTATTATTACACATATTATTATAGTTTTATCATTATTATTATTATTATTTTTATGACTTTAGTACTATTTTATCATTATTGTTATTATAAATATTATTATAAAATATTTTATTACTGTTATTATTCTATTATTACCATTATTATTTCTATTATTATTATGCATTATGACTATTATTATTAAATCATTATTGTTAGTATTATGGTTATTGTTATTACTATTATTATTATTATTATTATTATTATTATTATTATTTATTACTATTACTATGATTATCATGGTATTAGTATTCTATTATTATTATTATTATTAATATTATTATTATTAGACTATTAGTGTTATTGTTTCTTAGTACTATTATTATATTATTATTTTTGTCAGTAATACTTCTGTTATTTTTACATTCTTATTGCTATTATTACTATTATTACTATTATTACTATTATTATTATTCTTATTTATTGGGGGGCAACCTTTTCTTAGGGTTGCTTCACTCAACAGGGAAAGAAACACAGCGAACCAGAAACCGGGACCCTTATTAACCCCAGCCCGGTAGGCGAGCGCAAACCCTGTTTTAATGATGGGCATTGGTCTTGAGCCAAACGGGCATTGCCGTTTGACATGCATTCATGCAAACAACGGGGCCTCCAACATCACATGCATGCACACCCTTCTGGGGTACCTCTTTGGGGGTCAAGGGGTCGTGATTATTCAACTCCCCCCGTGCTCACTAAGAGACTTGTATTCTACAGTCGCGCTTGAGCTGCGACCCATGTGATGCAAGGTCCTTTACCAGACCATAAAGAGGGCTTACCTATGATTTTTGCACTTGTGTTACTGCTTGTCATCTCAGGCCGGACATCTTTCAACTTTTCGGGCAAATTGGTTCTGATGCCCAAAAGCTTTAGAGCGTGGTCCCACTTCAAGGGCTACAGTGCTTTTGTGAAGATGTCGGCTGCCTGGAGATGAGTAGCTACATACTTGATCACTACGCCCGTGCCGGGTTCAAGTTGCTCAGCAAGTGCGGACAAGTTCACTTTATGAGTGCGCTGTGTGCGCCGCATTTTTGGGGAGTAACCTTTCTTGGCAACGAGGATCGTGGCTTGGTTATCTTCATGTAGCACCAGCTCAACCGGGCGTCCAAGCAAACGTTCCCATAAGGTCAAGGAGGGAAGGCCCTCTTGATATAAGGAGAATGTGAGCGAAACGACCTCGGCTTCGGTGGTGGATCTCGACACTGATGTCTGTCGTTTGCTCAACCATGCTAACGGGAAATGGGTGTTCGGTCCTTTGAGAACCAAGAAGCCACCGGACGTGGACTTCGCATCCCTTTCTCCAGCATAGTCGGCATCCGCATACAGAGCGAGGTGAAGATCTTGCGGGTTGTCCTTTATGACTCCTACCAACCGGTAGTGCGTAGTCGAGTGGATGCACGCGATAAGACGGGCGAGTTGCCCATCGTGGTTGCGAGACCACTTCTGCACGGCGGTTGCTAAGTCACCTATGGGCTTGATGATGTCAGGACGCGCTAGTCGTCCCAGCCATAAGGCCTTCATGAGGAGTTTGCACGCGTTCGGGGCTAGCTCGCCAGCTGACTTCAACACAAAGTGATCCGTCTGGGCAGAACGGAGTAGTTACCTTCCGGAGCTTCTCGGGCTGAGTGCCGGTTATAGAACAAAACAGTTCTACGGTTTGACGGGCAAGTCGTTCATGTCAAAGGCAACGGCACCCTTTAATGCGCTTACAGCTGCATTCAGATCATGTTCTTGAGGCTCTGCGGGAGCGTCTATAAACACATGATTACGCCCGAGCACCCGAAGGATCGGCTCGGGAGGCTCTACATTTATCATTTTTGTAAGCTTTTCCCAAAAGGCTTCGTGTGCATCTGCGGGACCTGAGAGGGTCAAGTCATCGACGTAAGTCGAGAGCATAAGGCCTACCCCTTTAAAGAAAAAGTTTCCAGGAAACTCTGGGATTTCTTCCCCTCCCAGCTGCTTGAGCAGTTTCTTAAGGTGTGCCCCCCACAGACCTCCTGCATCAGGGTGACCATATAGGGCACGAATCAACAAGACCACGGGTTTCACGAACTTGGAACCCCATTCCTTTGGCCGCAGCTCAGGCGGAAGTTCAATCCACGTCTGGAACTGCAAGCTAAGGAACGCCTGGACATAGGCTTTTACCGCGTCAGCGGTGGTGACCGTGTGTCCTGGGATACACCCATACGCCAGGCAGGCGTTTAGGCCTTGTACGGAGGTGGGGTTTGCCCCCAGTTCTTGGTACACCGCGGGTGCACCGGCTTCATCTTTTGCACAGTCTCCCCTGAACACGATGCGCCCCTTTACCTTTTGGAGGTGCTTCGCAAGTTCATAGAACTTGATGCTGGCGATCGTCATGAGCTGACCAAAGTGCACCTTGATCCCAGACTGTCGCGCTTGAGCTGCGACCTCAGCCTTCTCCCGGACAGTTGAACTGTCCCATACTCCGACGTCTTGGAGTCCGGTCGCCTCCTGCTTGATCGCTTCCAGTGCTTCGGGAGATGCAAGCATCTCGGCACGGGACAGGAGTTTGGTGAACATTGCATGCGCTTCTGTTTCGACAGCCTTGGCGGGCATGCCGACAGCACTATCAAGTAGACCTTGGACATCAAGGAGTTCCTCAACAATCTCTTTTGTTTTAGAGTCTGATTCAATGAGGATGGTGAAGTCATCTGCTCCGGAAAGAGGAGATTCGTGCTTTAGGGATTGCTCCTTAACACGATGCTCCGTCTGCTGAGTGACTGGAACAACAGGCATTGCTTGAACCGGAGTCCTACACACTTTGGGATACAACGCTTTGGCGATCAAACCACATTGCTCAGGGTAGAATGCAGTGCGGGAGGTTCGGCTCCCTGCCGCTGGAGTGTTTTTCGGACTTGAGTGCGGACACTGGCGATCAGCGAGTGCTTCGGCAAGGGCCTTTGATGTGGTTTTGATGCGCCAAGGCTTCTTGATGGGTGAACCATTTTCATCCGTCAAACCAACAGCACAGCCATGAAACGAAACACCATGGAACACATCCTTGTGGCGTTCGAAAAACTCGGCAACATCTGGCCTCTGCCAGCCTTCGCAGTCACGCGCCACTCGAAAGTGACTGATCCACCAGCCTTCAAAACATGCTGGGCGTGCAATGAAAACGGCTTACCTAGCCTGTGGAGGTTCAGCCTCTGCCAAGGTGACCCTGAGACACATGGAATGGCTGCCCACAAGTTAGGTCGGACGCACTGCGAGAGTTGATACGCGAGCTGCTCATGCGCAACGGCTGACTCTAAGTCAATGTACTCCTTTGCTAATCGGACATGTGGGATGTTGAGATCCTTGAACACATTACCCATTGAGGAATTAGGTGAACAAGCAAACTCAAACATCGGCCAACAGCATCACGTGCTAGGCGCTTGCGAGCACGCTTGTTGCCAACGGTAAACGGAGCGCGTTCATCGCCCCCCTGAAGCTGGCAAGGGTTACCGAAAACGGATGGCTTCTCTTTTGTGGTCTCAGCAAGTGTTGTGCTGGATGCGGTTGACACGGTGACGGCTGCTCCTGAGCTGACTGGAATGTTACCCTCGTGAGGACTGAGCCCCCCTGCTGCGCTTAAAGCTGCCTCGGAATCACTATATAACCTAAAAATGGTTACGCCAGTCCAGAAGACAGGGAGTTCTCGATGTGCTGAGAACCTGCCTGCCCAACCATCACTGATATCTTCCTTGCTACCATCTTGCTGGGATACAACGCGAGTGGTCCTACCGGGTGTGATTCTGCACACTGACACAGGACAATCACCGACATCCTTGGGAGTGAAAAGTTTAATCCTAGGCTGATGACGCACGCGGATTAACACGTTACCACTAGGCTTATAAACCCATTCATCCTTCTTGGTTGATGCGGGGACAGCGTCGGTATGCGGAACACTGGGCCGAGAAGAGGCGGGCTCTCCAAGCAAGGCACGGACGATATCGGGGTCTCCCTCCTCAGGTGCCTCGATCTCTGGGGCTTCTGGGGGTTCTAGGGACGACGCCTTTGCAGCGCGTATAGCAGCTGCCTCATCTTCACCCTTACTTGGTTTGGTGGCCTCCTCACTTGCGGCCTTTTTGGCCTTCGCTTCTTCCTTCTCACTTTCAACTAGCTCTGCAAACCTTTTGCGGCATTCATCAGTGTGATGCCTGGAACTAGCATGGCCGGTGCAGGCCTTGCATCCAGGAGTCTCCTTGAACTTTATAACCCGTTCAATGGTGATGTACACACTTCGTGACTTAAAGCCTGATAGAGTTGACGGGGCAGGGATACCTTCAGGAATGAAAGGAACATCCCTGATTGTATACTCGGGAACCTCGCCATCGCCTGTTCGCAGGGCTCGATCGGCAGCGGCCGCGATGGGGAAAACAGGATCGCCTTCCTCGACGAACAACTCAGGTTCGGGCACGTCATGGACAGTAACATTACCATTGGTTCTGAAACTTTGGTAGTCCACAACTTTTAACACCCTTCGATATCGCATCCCTGGATCGATACGCCAACCCATAAACAAGCCTGGGGCCATGTTGGGTTCTAGGGTTCTCTTTCCAGCTGACTTAGGCGATACCAAACGAGCTGTCCAAAGCAACAGCGGACGCCATCGAACTTCTCCTTGGTGAGCGCTTCCCATTGCGTCTTTGTCGGATCGAACGCGGACGGTTGGTCGAAAGACATCGAGAGGCATGCAAAGGGATAGGAATGCGTGTGCAGGGAGTATGGCAAACCCGATTGATGGTGTATGCTCCTGCAACACTCCTTCTCCTCTCGGACATCTCGCTCAAGCTCGGAGT